CGTGGGGCCCGGCATCCACTCGTGAGCCGAAAAACTGTTCTCGACCCAGAATAAAGTCCACAGCGTCCAATTTTGTGCAATGTAGAGTATATTGAGTCAGCATAGGCGCTATTAACTGTACTTGGACGGAGTTAGCGTATTACGGTACTGCACACGCTGTGAATTTCCCTGTAACGAGGAAGATTTATGCATTTTAGCGGTGAGCGAGGTGTTCTCTCTATCCTCATCCACACTCTTACTGCCAGACCTTCTTAGGCTTCCAGTGGAAGTTCTCGTACAGACGCAGCAGGTTGCGTTCGAGCATGGCCACCGTGACCTTACCCACCAGTGGCACGTACTGCACGCCCTTTATCTTAAGCAGCTCGGCATCGTCCACGTTCTTGAAGGACGCGACGTAGATGATGACCGTGTTTTCGCTGACCCACTCAAGCGGCAGCTTGTAGCTCTTAACGGGGACGCCAGTAATGATGACACGAGACTTCTTACACGCCGTCTCCTGCGTCTCTTCGCTCGGGATGAGCTTACCGCGACGGAATAGGTACAGCGAGTCAATGTCGGCGCTGTACACGTCAGCGCCGTCATTCGCAAGCATAGCAGCCAATGGGCGGCCGACAATGTATGAGACCTGGACGACGCAGTCTCAGAAACCAGAAGTCTTTTTAGTATTGGTAGTCACTCGCCCGTTAGATACTTGGTTAATATTTTTATTTCTAACGGAGTCCACCAAGGGTGGAGCTCCAGCAATTCCCAATCTGCCAAGTGTGGGGCGAGTAGTGTGTTAACGCTTACTTCTTCCGTCGTACTCACTGTCCAGACATCGTACACGACCTCTGCAAGTGAACGAGTAGGAGACGTTCGCTGTTAGGGTTATGAGCCCAAAATTGGAGTAAACTTCCAGAACTTACGTGAACGCTGACGATGTCGTGGACGCTGCCTTCGATGTCAGACTTACTTGGTACTCCGTCTCCGACCGCGTCGCGACGGATGCTGGCTCTGCAGTGTCAGTAGCGGCTGGACTGGTAGGTCCGTTGGCTGGTGGTGCTGGCGGGATTCCTGTCCTTCAGTCTCCACCGCCGCAGTCTGTTTCTGCGTTGAGCTCACCAACTTCAACACTCATTTTGACTGGAACTCCGGTGGTGAACGCTCCAGCGAGGTCGCACGCTAATGAAGAACAACAACGAAGGATACCATTGCCACCGCCTAACCTAGCGTTGGATGTGAACAAAAACCCACCAAAAATGGCAGGAAGCTTTAACCTCTATCGTGCTCAAGTTATGGCCTATTTACACCGATTTAATGCTTGGGGTCTGATCGATGGATCCGTACAGCGTCCGACTGTAACTGGGGAGCTTCAACACCGCTACGATATGCTGGACTTCTTTGTGAAAGATACGTTGCTTCGTGGTGCTAAAAATTAAGACGCTGAGCGTATGTGTGATCTTCCAACTGGCAAGGAAATGTGGGAAGATCTGGAAGCACACCATACTAAGCGTGAGTTTTCTAATTACGTGTGGGTATTGAAGCAATTCTTCCACGCAACTTACACTCGTGAGCAGACGATGGATTCTTGGCTTCAGGAGATTCACGATACACGACGTGTGTTAGCTAACCTGGGTCGAGTTATCGATGATGATCTCACTGTGGACGTGATTCTCATGGCTTGAGAGCTCCAACTAACCACCCTTCTCAACAAACTTGTCGGTGCTGCTGTTACTTGGCTTTAATTCTCTTATTTTATAATTTACACAGCCATGAGTGCTGAGCGACGTATCTATAGGTAAGTACTGTTGACAAGGACAATAAGCTGGTGTCCAAATTCTCGTACACGGTTGAAAATCCTCTGAAAACGCTGTGCTTGGTTCGCTCCGGATCATATTTCGCAGTGAAAGTAGATGGATACATAGTACATAAGTATAATACACGTGATTACATGTAATTCATGCAAACGATTCTTATAAAAAGATTTTTTTTTATAGAATTCATAATACTAACAAGCAAAACCTCCGTATACAACGCAGCCACAACAGAAAGAGAAGACCCGTTACCAATCACCACATCATGTGAACTGCACGCAGGAGGGTTTGAGCCCTAACCGATCGCGCAGGAGGGTCAAGCCTCAACGACCAAGCCAGATTCCAGGACCCATTCTTCAAAGTCAAATAATTTGTTCGCTGTACAACACATAGGCTTTCTAAACGAATATAACAGACAAGCAGTGTTGTATTTATTTATAGCACATATGCCTTATATGCGGGGTAAGACGGTAGGCTTCCAGTGCTTGAAAAAGTAAATTGGTACAAATTAAAACAGATTTGGTATCTAGATATTCCTCTTCCACAATTATTATTCTTGTTCATTGCCGATATGCACCCGTTTCTTTCTTGCAAACCAAAGGCTCTGTGCTCAAAAGTTTAGCATTTTGGTATAAAAAGTATAGGTATTTAACGCAAAAGGCCTCTAAATTACTACCTGAGAGCTCAATTTACTATTACCGGTAGTAGTTGCTATTTTACAGAATTGTGTCTTTAGTTCGACAGCTTGAAATACTACTACTACAGG